ATCTCATCCACCCCTGGGGCCCTGCCACCGAGGAGCTTTTTAAACACCTCGGTGACCTCAGCACCAGAGATTGGAGGGCCCGACCCAGAGTCCCAAGGCTCCACTTCCTCAGTGGAAGACGTGCCGGTGGGATTGAGGAGGTTTTCAAAGTATTCCGCCCACCGACCCACGACATCCCGCCGACCCACGACATCCCGAGTTGAGGTCAGCAGCATACCACTCCCACTATAAACAGTGTTGGTGGTGTACCGCTTTCACCCCCCGAGAGGCCGGATGGTGAACCAGAATTGCATCGAAGCCGTGCAGAAGTCATTTTCCATGGCCTCTCCGAACTCCTCTCATGCCCGAGTTTTTGCCTCAGCGACCACCCGAGCCGCTTGTTGCTTGGACTGCCGGTACCCATCAGCTGCTTCCGGTGTCCCACAGGCCAAAAAGGCCCGATAGGACTCCTTCAGCCTGAGAGCATCCCTCACCGACGGTGTCCATCATCGGGTTCGAGGGTTGCCGCCGCAACAGGCACCGACAACCTTGCGGCCGCAGCTCCAGTAAGCCGCCTTGACAATAGAGGCACGAAACATGGTCCACTCAAACTCAATGTCCCCCACCTCCCTCGGAACCTGTTCGAAGTTCTCCTAGAGGTGGGAGTTAAAACTCTGTCTCACAGAAGACTCTGCTAGATGTTCCCAGCAAACCCTCATAATACGTTTGGGTCTGCTAGGTCTGACCAGCATCCTCCCCCACCATCGGAGCCAACTCCCCACCAGGTAGTGATCAGTGGACAGCTCCGCCCCTCTCTTCACCCGAGTGTCCGAGACATGTGGCCGCAGATCAGATAAGATAATGACAAAGTCGATCTTTGAACTGTGGCCTAGGGTGTCCTGGTGCCAAGAGCACATATGGACACCGTTATGCTTGAACAAGGTGTTCGTTATTGACAATCCATGACGAGCACAGAAGTCCAACAAAAGAACACCACTCTGGTTCAGATTAGGGGGGCCGTTCCTCCCAACCACACCCCTCCAGGTCTCACTGTCATTGCCTACATGAGCATTGAAGTCCCCCAGCAGAACAAGGGAGTCCCCAAGAGGTGCACTTTCCAGTACCCCCTCCAAGGACTCCAAAAAGGGTGGATAATCTGAACTGCCGTTTGGTGCATAAGCACAAATGACAGTCAGAACCCGTCCCCCCACACGTAGGCGGAGGGAGGCCACCCTCTCATTCACCGGGGTGAACCCCAACACACAGGCACCAAGTTGGGGGGCAGTAAGTATGCCCACTCCTGCTCGGCGCCTCTCACCAGGGGCAATTCCAGAGTGGAAGAGTGTCCAGCCCCTCTCAAGGAAACTGGTTCCAGAGCCAGAGCCATGCATAGAGGTGAGTCTGACTATTTCTAGCCAGAACCTCTCAGCCTCACACACCGGCTCAGGCTCCTTCCCCACCAGTGAGGTGACATTCCACGTCCCAATAGCCAGCTTCTGTAGCCGAGGATCAGACCGCCAGGGTCCCCACCCTCAGCCACCACCCATCCCACATTGCACCCGACCACTTTGGCCCCTCCCACAGGTGGTGAGCCAATGGGAGGGGGACCCACGTCTCCTTTTCGGGTTGTGCCCGGCCGAGCTCCATGGGTAAAAGCCCGGCCACCAGGCGCTCGCCCGCATGCCCCACCTCCAGGCCTGGCTCCAGAGTGGGGCCTCGGTGACCCACGTCCGGGCAAGGGAACATTAAGTCCGTTTATTTCACTCATCATCGGGGTCTTTGGGCTACACTTTGTCTGGTCCCTCACCTAGGACCTGTCTGCCTTGGGTGACCCTACTAGGGGCGTAAAGCCCCTGACAGCATAGCTCCTAAGATCATTGGGACACTCAAACCCCTCCACCACGGTAAGGTGGCAGCCCAGGGAGGGGGCCCAGCTGAATCTTGTCCTGAGGAAATAGCTCTCCTGTGTTGAACCATGCGTCTGTGAAGAGGCTGTTTAGTTTCTCCAATGTGGAGGTCTGGACAGTCCTCGCTGCACTGGACCACATACACTACACCACTCTGTTTGTGTATGGGTGTTTTGTCTTTAGGGTGGACCAGTCTCTGTCTGAGAGTCCTGCTGGGTTTGAAATGTACTGGGATGTTGTGTTTGTTGAAAATCCTTCTGAATTTCTCTGATACTCCAGCAACATAAGGGATGACAATGTTTTTCCGTCTGTTGTTCTCCTATTTCTGTTTATTAGTGTGTTTTGTAGATTTCCTCGCTGACTTGACCAAAGCGCAGATGGGATAGCCACATGTTTGGAGAGCATCTTGGATGTGTTTCTGTTCCTTTTCCTTCCCTTCTGTCTTTGTGGGGATGCGTTCGGCCCAATGCTGTAAAGTTCTGATGACAGAGAGTTTGTGTTCCAGTGGATGGTGAGAGTCAAACAGAAGATACTGGTCTGTGTGGGTTGGTTTTCTGTAAACTTCAATGTTAAGGCTGTCCTCTCTTTCCATCTGAATCAAACAGTCCAAAAAAGGCAGCTTGTTGTCGTTTGCATCCTTCCTGGTGAACTTCATGTTGTTATCGACTGAGTTAATGTGTCTGGTGAACGCTTCTATTTTCTTGGCTTGGATTTTGACCCAGGTATCATCCTCATATTGGAACCAATGGCTTGGCGTTGTTCCCTCAAAGGAGTTTAGGGCTCTCTGTTCCATTTCCTCCATGTAGAGATTGGCAACAATGGGTGACACTGGAGATCCCATGGCACAGCCGTGCCTCTGTCTGTAAAAACTGTCATTGAACTTGAAATAAGTTGTGGAGAGGCAGAGATCCAACAGGGCGCAGATCTGGTCTGGGGTGAAGTTGGTCCTGTTGATTAAATCCTTGTCTTGTAGAAGTTGTTTTCTGACTGTTTCTATTGCTTCAGAGATGGGTATGCAAGTGAAAAGAGAAGTCCCATCATATGATACAAGGGTTTTTCCTGGGGTTAGTTTCAAATGTATGTATGAATGTCTTAAGTAATATTCTAATTTTCTGAGATACTGAATTTGGGGTTCTATTTCATCCCTCCTGACCGCCAGAGGGCAGTGCTGAAAGCACTGAATGTTCACTTCCCGCATGCGCTGTTCAAGTAATAATACCAACGGAGTCACAGGTGTGACATGGATGACCAATCAGAGGCTATATAGCCCGATGTCATCCGCAGCTCTGCTCCTTTTTTCTTTTCGCGCGCGGTTCAATTCAGGGCTTCAGCCCTTTGGACCTTTTTTGAACTTTTCACAGTTGTCGGAAGTCCGACTGCCCATTGGTGGGAGTAGCGTGTTCGTCCTCCTAGGGGCTGCAATGGTTTAACCCTATTCAAAGGTATTTCTGCTGATTCGTTGGGTTCTACGGCGGTTTCTGCCCCTCCCAACTTATAGCGTCTGACTACTATATGTGTGATTTAACACTGGTGAGTAGTATCCTGATGCATGCTCAATAATCCAGGTAGAAAAATCCAAAAAAGTTCAATCTGGTCCTCTGGACATTCAAAAAACCAAAAAACAAAACAAAGCAAAAAAATCTAGAAACGTTTCGTCTCTCATCCAAGAGACTTCCTCAGTCTGAGGTGCTGTTTTCAGCTCAGTCTCTTAAATAGCACCTTCTTAGAGTGGATCAACCAGTTTGCTGCTGACAACCAAAACCAGCTGATCACATGCTCAAGAAGGACCATAAGCCTAACACAATGGGTCATTAGCACACTGATGGCTGTTTACTACTCACAGAGGGCTGAGTGATACTAGCAATCACAGCATTGTAAGAGGGGGACAGTTGAACCCGGAGGCCTCCACCCCTGTTTAATGATGGACGGTTTCTTTTCACAAAGATGGCCTCCTTTACTCCTCTCTCAAACCATCGTTCCTCTCTGTCCAGGATGTGAACATCTTCATCCTTGAAAGAGTGACCGCTGGCCTGGAGATGAGTGTAGACCGCAGAATCCTGGCCTGATGATGTTGATCTTCTGTGCTGAGCCATCCTTTTGGCCAGTGGCTGTTTAGTTTCCCTGATGTAAGACTGATCACAGCCCTCCTGACACTGAACAGCATATACAACATTACTCTGTTTGTGCCGGGGGACTGGATCTTTGGGATGAACCAGTTTTTGCCGTGATGTATTTTGGGGTTTAAAAGCCACTGGGACGTTATGTTTGGAAAATAAACGTCTCAGTTTCTCTGATACCCCCTCAACATACGGAATGACCACTGGTCTGGGTCTGGGTTCCTCCTTTTCACCTGATGGCTGACTGGAGTCCTGTTTGGGTTTCTTCTCTGCTTTCAGGAAGGCCCAGTTAGGATATCCACATTGCTCTAGAGTCTGTTTTGTGTAGGATTTCTCCTTCTGCCTGGCTCCTGAGCTAGTGGGGAT